AGCCAGCACAGCTAGAGCTGCAAGATAGAGAAGGTCACAAAAAAAATCAAATCCAATTAATCTTACAGTCAGTTCACTCAGACTACAATTTGTCCAACTGATGTGGGGTCAGCAGAGAGTACAACTGAGCGAGTATGTGAGGTTAGTACCAGTAAAAATCTATTAACAAAAATAACATGAAGAGTCTTTTCATTTGGTCTCTTCTTTGGGTTATTTAGTTCTCAATCTCAGCTCTGGACGTCACTGTGACTTCATTCATTCAGCTCACCAGTGACCAGTAACTTTGGATGCAAAAATCTGCCCTTTCCTGTTACCTGAAAGCTGAACTAGAAAAATAATAATAATAAGTGGTCTGACAGTCGGCAACCATAGAAGTGTTTCAATTTGCATGAAATGAAATGGCTCTTCATGCTTCTTTCAGAGATGTATTCAAATAATTTACAATAAAAAGGTAATAAGACAGTATGACGACATTATTTCTATCTGCTTGTTGTTTCATGGCATATTTTTTCTCAAGGTATTCATGTAGAAAAAAGACTCAGAGACTCGTGCACTCACATAGAAACATTGATCCATAGGAGGCAAATTGAGCACCACGGACAGCTCCACGGAATTTACCATACAATGCCTTCATAAAGCATCAATATATGGAATTGTTTCTCTTCCTTTTGCTGTACTCAACCTGACTTGTAATATCTCAAATACTATGAAAAGTCTCAGTTGAACGAAGCAGTTTGTCACAATGAGTAACACTCCCCCAAAAACGTCCAGCTGAAGGTGACCATTCAGTTTTACCTTCAAGGAAACGTCTACATTCATTTTCTAAGTCAATGCATACATAATGTTCCACGCCAGTCTTTATTTTATATTTTCCCGTCAGCGCCTCCGACGTGGACATGTGTCATGATCACTTTTGTTTTACTCTGCTGCCTAGTTCAGCATGTTTAGCAGTCAGGGCTGTTCCTTGTCGTCAGGCGGAGCTGCTAAGTAGCCCTGCAGTCTGTGACACTGTGACCTTGTCTGGTCATTTCCAAAGATTTTCTGCTTTATTACACATTTCACACTTGAAAATAACTGAAAGGCTCAGAGTGAGTGGGTGTAATAGGCAACCAAGGTCACCGTCCAGATCATCTCATGGCACTTTGGGCCAGTTTATTTGTGCCTCCTTCTGTTTCCTCTCCTTTCTGCTTGCCTCTTGTCCCACTGCAAAAGCTATCAGACCTGTGTCTGTTTTGCTCAGATTGAGTCATGAGTCTTCTCATCTGCTCACTTCCCTTTGATCCACCCTTTAATCACTCACTGCCTCCCCTGCTGTCCACCTACCGCTCACCGATGAATACTGCCCCCGCTCCTTCCCACACATCACTTCTGAAACTACACACACACACATGCACGCTGACGCACGGGTACGTACTTTACTGAAATTAATTTTCATGGACGTTGTTATACTAAATGATTCAATCTGTGAGCGTCTCAATGTCAGGGTGTTCCAAACATAGTCATGAGTGCAATAAAAGTTAGAAAACAACTTCATCTTCTTTATTGTGGCAATCGAACAGGAGCAAGAAAAAGTGATTCACGACAATAAATTTATCACCAAATAGTCCTTAAAATATAACCCAAGGGCCACAGAGGTGCAGTGGTAAGAGTCTTGTCTTCCAACAGAAAGTTTCAATACCATGTAGTCCCCCAACCTGAGGTTTGGTGCTGTGACGTTTTGGTTGTGTGGTGCTGGGATGACCCCTGATTAGGGGCCGAGGCCAAAAGTTAAAAAGAAAAAAAAAAGGTACATGGTGTAATTAAGTCTAGGAGTATAGTCTGCTGCAGCTTGATTACAGCCAATAGTTTTCAGAGTTTTGAGTTTTGACTTGTACCTAG